TTTATATATATATATGGTAGTAGTTGAGACTATGGGTTCTGGAGAATACTGTCTTGATTCAAATCCTGGTTGAATGTATTTGGGTTTAATTTAACCAGCTTTCTGATCTTGAGCAAATGTAAATGAGTTTAATGATAGTAATCTCTCTGTATCTGTTTCCTCATGAGTAAAGTATGGCTGATAATAGGACCAGTTACATAGGGCTGTTGTGAATATAATACAAGTCATTTATGTACAACAGTGCTCGGTACATATGCTACCCCTGATAAAACCACGTGGGAGCCATGTCTGACTTCTGCTAATTTCACAGGGGGAAAAGAGAATCAAACTCAAAATCAGCCCAAATTCTATGGAATGGAGGTCAGACTTGCCTCCACTCTGTAACTTTCTTTACCCTCTTCTGACACCAACCATCCGTCCATAGCACTTTCTGCTTCACATCTGGGTTCAATAATCCATTGCAATGGCCACACAGAACTCATAACAATACTCACAATTATGGGCTTTATTAGGGACGTGAACAGGTTACAATTAAGGACCAAGAAACAACTCAGGATGTAGTAGTTTTCCAATCAGGAACACCTCTTTTCTGCTGTATTGCAGACATGCCTCGCTGTTGTTTTCAGCTTCTCAGCCATGTGGCCCCTTGGACTCTACCCTACTTGGGCAAATATTGCAAACCTCTTATAGCCAGTCTGTGAATGCCTAAAGGGCACATTTTGCAAGCCAGTCACCTGCACTTAGACACTCAGCTTTACTCAGTCCATGAGCCTAGAGTCCACAGTTGCTCTGTCTTCATGCCACTCCTCTGTTGTCTCGGCTTTTTTAGGTAGTAGTCTCATACTCCATTCATGCTCTTCCTTCTTGATGATCCTGGGATCATCTGTTCCTGCTTCTGAGATGGCTTCTTTTAAACCTAGCCGGACGACAAAATTAACCAATCTCAGCCTTAGAGTCCCGTACACCTTGTTTGTATGATCCCAGCCAATCACTTGGTGGGAATTAAAAAGACATTGGATAGAAAAGCTATGTCAAGTAAATGCAAGGTACCACAATGCCTAATAATGTTGGCTACTTTTAATGTATTTAGAACCTCTTACTGAGTAGTTTTTAAACTATTTGTTGAATACTTACTATATGCTACACAAGGAATTTATAAAATAGCATCCATTTTATGTAAAAGAATCCCCAGGATATGACTGAAGTTATTTTTATTTTTATTTTTATTTTCTTAGAGTGGTATTTTTATCTTTAGGTGAGGATGAACGTCTATGATTCATAATAAAGAGCATTCGTAAAACAACAGGTGGGAGATAGGTTCTTCAGAATTTTGTATTGGAGTTCAGAATGAACTTTTTGATACCATATGTTGTTTGTTGTTAGGTGCCAGCAAATCAATTCCAGCTCATAGCAAGCTTGTGTACAACAGAACAAAACGCTGCCCAGTCTTGATCCACTCTCACAGTTTTTGTTTGAGCCCATTGTTGCAGCCATTGTGTGAATACCTCACTGAAGGTGTTCGTCTTCTCTGACCTTTTACATTGCCGAACATGATGTCCTTCCTTCTCCAGAGACTTGTCCGTCTTGATAGTATACCCAAAGTATATGAGCTGAAGTCTTACATCCTCGCTTCTAAGGAGCATTCTGGCTGCACTTCTTCCAAAACAGATTTGTTCATTCTTCTGGTTGTTAGGTGCCATTGAGGCAGTTCTGTCTCATAGTACCCCTATGCACAACAGAACTAAACACTTCCCAGTCCTGTGCCATTTTAACAGTTGTTATATTTTAGTCCAGTGTTGCCACTGTGTCAGTCCATCTTGGTAGACATCTTCCTCGTGTTTGTTGACCCTCCACTTTCCCTAGCATGCACGATGTCCTTCCCCTAACAATATGTCCAAAGTATGAGAAACAACATCTCACCATCCTGGCTTCTAAAGTGCATTCTAGTTTTACTTCTTCCAATACAAACTTGTTCATTCTGAAATTCTGGTGTGGTGCTGTAGGATAAAGCACTGGACTATAAGGTCATTTTGAACCATGAGGTCTGTGGTTCAAACCCACCAATCACTCCTCAGAAACACTGTACAGGATCACTATGATTCAGAACAGGCTCAATGACACTTAACAACAACTGGCATTCCATGATGCTTTCAATATTCTGCACCAACTCAATAATTGAAATGATCTGATTCTTCTCTGGTCTTCCTTATTCATCATCCAACTTTCACATGTATATGAGGCTACTGAAAATACCATGGCTTGAGTCAGGTGCACCTTAGTCTTCAAACTGAAATCTTTGCTCTTGAACACTTTAAAGAGGTCTTGTGCAGCAGATTTGCCTAATTCAATACATTGTTTGATTTCTTGACTGATGCTTCCATGTGTGTTGATGGTCAATCCAAGCAAAATGAAGTCATTGACAACTTCAATCTTTTCTTCATTTATCTGATGTTTTTGGTCCAGTTGTGAGGATTTTAAATTTTTATCAGTATTTTAAACCCTCTTTGCTTCCAGCAAACAAGTTTGTGCCATCTGTTTATTGCAGGTTGTTAATGGGTCTTTCTTCAATCCTGATGCCACATTCTTATACATATAATCTTGCTTGTCAGATTATTTGCTCATCATACAGATTAAACAAGAATAGTGAAAGGCTACAACCCTGGCACATACATTTTCTGATTTTAAACCATTCATTGTCCTCTATTCTGTTCTAACAACTAACTGCCTCTTGGTCTATGTACAGGTTTCTCAGGAGCACAATTAAGTGTTCTGGAATGCCCATTCTTCACAATGTTATCCACAGTTTGTTATGATCCACAGCAAGTTTTTGTGTCTCTTCTAACATCCAGTTTGGTCTTTTCTTTGCTGCTTGTTTTTATTCACTTTATGTTCTTCATGTACGATGTATGTTTTTAATCATTAGTGTTTACAAAACAAATCTGTTCTTGAAATGGTCTCTAAATTTAGTTGAAATATACTGAAGGTCATATTTTGGCTCTCATAGACTTGATTTAATTTTTTTTAGCTTCAACTTGAACTTGCAAATGAACAACTGATCTGTTCCATAACTGTCCCTAGTGTTGTTCTGACTGATGAGAGTTAGTTTCTCTTTCCACAGATATAGTTGATTTGATTCCTGTATGTTCCATCCAGCAAGGTCTTTATGAATAGTCACAGTTTATGTGGTTGAATAAAGATATTTGTAATGACTAAATTGTTGGTCTTGCAAAATTCTATCATGTGATATTTCACATCAGTTCTTACCAAGGCCATATTATCCAACTACTGATCATTCTTTGTTTACTATGCATTCCAGTCACCAGTAATTATCAGTGCATCTTGGCTGCATATTTGTTCAATTTCAGACTGAAGAAGTTAGTGGTTGTTGTTATATGCTGTCAGTTCCAACTCATAGGGACCCTGTATAGGGTTTCCAAGGCTATAAATCTTTACAGGAGCAGAAAGCCTCATCTTTCTCCCATGAAACAGCTGATAGTTTCAAACTGCAGACCTTGAGGTTGGCAGCCCAACTCGTAACCACTTTGCTACCAGAGCTCCTTTGTTCTGGTACTACCTAGTAAAGCCTGGTGTGGAACTGTGGGTTAATGTCCTGGACTACAAGGTCAGTTTAAATTGCAAGGTCGGTGGTTCAAGCTCACTAGCCGCTCCTTGGAAACTATATACAGGGTTGTTATGAGTTGGAACCAACTCAACAGTACTTAACACACAACACCAGTAAAGCTTTTACTTGGCGAAAATAAAATAAAAGAAGTATTACTCATGATTTTTGGCTTTATTTTTTTATTTTTTTGTATCTTCCAGAAAATGTCTTTGAAATTCAATAACGCAAAACGAATTGAAGGACTTGATAGTAACGTATGGTGAGTATGTTAAAGTAAAAACAATATGGTAAGGTTTTTTTCCTACAAATTTTTATATCCTCAGTTTAGAATTTTTCAACTTATACATAGTCTATGAATAAATCACTGATTATAACTTATCTACTAGATGCAAAATAAGTGAAAAGAAAATATTATTTAAGGTGGAATTCAACTTGGAACATCTTTAATTGATGTATAATGGTTCATTTTCTTAAAAATTGATTATTTGTAATGGCGTTCCCACCAAGTTTAGCATCTCTGGTTGCATGCTAACTAAAATAACATACTGTTTAAATATGTCCACAGTATGTCCAAACAAAAAAGTTATTGTTTGAGTAAAAAGTTTTACAAAGCCACATGCTTTTATTTACAAATGGCCGTTGGCTGCTTTTTTTATTGTAATGGCTCAGTGGAGTAGTTATGACAGGGATCATAGGGCCCACAAAGCTTACAGAAAATGTTTGCCAAGGCCTGCGGAAGCAATCAATGTAAGTTTCAATCTCCTCCTTGTAATGTCAGACTGTTGAGATTTAAATAAAATAATTCCTATAACGTGTTTGGCATTGTGCTTAGAATATGCTAAGCACTGGTGGGTGTGGTTAATGGCAGTCAAAGTCGAAGTCAGTTTGGCGGTTTAAGCTCACCAGCTGCTTCTCAGAAACCCTGTACAGGATTGCTATGAATCGCAACCGCCTCAAAGACACTTAATAACAACAAATAAATGTTAGCTGTACTATCATTGTTACTAAATTATCATCTGTACTAGAGCTAAAAGCAAAAAAATTAACTATAAACAAATTTAATATAAGCATTTTATTTTATGCCTTTAAGTTCAGAATGTCTAGAAATTTTTGTTTGTAAATGGAAATATTGGGGGGGGTTGGGTTTTTTAAGCTTTTATTGTGAATTAAGTGATAGTTTACATGAGAGAACATCGGTTTTACACTCATCCTATGTTTTGTTTCATTGCAATGATTACAACCACCCATGCATCATCATTTAATAGTATTTGATACTATTTCCTCGTGTTTTTTGTTTTGTTTTGTTTTTTGATGTAAACAAAAACACTCCGAAACATATAACCATTTAAACAACCAAAGGGCACATTCTGCAAGTCAGTCTCCTGGCTACCTGCACACAGCCTTTCTCTTCCCATGAATCTACAGTCCTCAGCTGCTCCCTCTCTCCATGTTCTCATCTCTGCCTCCATCTCTGGTGTCACTGCTTCTCTGGTTAGGGTCCCACATTGCACTCATGCTCTCATCTCTTGATGATCCTAGGGTCCTCTGTTAGCAGGCTAATTTAAAAAAATTTTTTAATGTTTTATTGTGAATTATGTGATAGTTTACATGGGAGGACATTAGTTTTACATTCATCCTATCGTACATTGTTTAATTTCCATGGTTACAATCCCCTCCATGCATCATCAACCAACCAAAGGGTATATACTACAAGCCTTCCCCCCAGTTGTCAGCACACAGCCCCTCTCTTTCTCTGTGTCTAAAGTCTCCAACTGCTCCATCTCTCCACGTCATCGTCTCTGCCTCCATCTCAGGCATCACTGCTTCTCTGGATAGAGTCCCGCTCTCCGCTCTTCTCCCTTGGTGGTCTCAGGGACCTCTGTTCCTAGACTGAAAAGTTAATCACTCCCCTCCTTGCTACAAAACATCTACCTTTACATTTCCAACCTTCACAAGTAGTCCTGATAACAATTATTCACTATGGTATCACAAGAGACCCATCCACATTTCATTTCATCAGCCCCGCCTAGACAGATTGGATACTACTCAGTGGAGATTCTACCTTCCTTCACGCCCTCTGAATCTAGGTTCCCTTTTGAAAGCTTGTAAGCCAGCCACTTCTTGCCTTTGTAGCCCCCTCATTTTGAGTAGCTAATGTCCAAGTTGCCCATCCCTGTCTACTCTGTGTATGGAGGGGGGTGGGAATGATCCTTGCTGTAAGGATTTGTTCCCTCTTTTGAGCTACTGCATCCATAGGCGTAGGTGAAGTTCATCAAATTGTATCAGATTACTCATTTTTTCCTCTTCTTTCTTATTCTGGTTGAGCTTGTAGGGCTTAGCTTGCAGCTTCATTGCTGTTTTTCCCTCACTTCCCCTAATTGGTGATGAGCGTGGTCACCAATCAGATCATGTATTCCCATTGAGTCTTAGTCTTGGAAGGGTGTTTCCACTGAGGAGACCCAACCACTTGCCTTGATGTCTCCTGGGCAAGCAACTTGCTTGTTCTTGTAGTAACAGTCGGTCAGCTGCTATTGTTTTGTATGGAAGTATTGGGTTTTGCTACTGCAGTTTTATACTTGTTCTTTTGACTTTGTGATAAATTGTTTCTGAGGTCATAAGTTTCATTCAATATTTGTTCAAAGCTATGAACCTTTCTTCAGAAAAATATGCATCAGTACCTAAACACAATTTTATACCCAATTTCAGAGGGTTCACAGACTGTCCTCTGTCCCCATGCCAGTCCTGCTTTCAGGAAGCCTGCACTGATTCCAGTAATGACTAGGATCTTCTTTGTAATTATAGATGTACATTTCCAAGGAGACTAATAAGGAACAGAATCTATGACTATGAAATAAAACAAAGTGATTCATACACTAATTCATACATTTAGGAAATGTTCCAGAGCGAGTGCTAGGCTCCAGAAATATGGCAGAGGAGAAGTCAAATTTGGTAGAGTCCCTAACAGAGTTTACAGTCTAATCCATGGTATTTTATAATCAGTTCTATTCTCTAATGATTGAGTAGAGCAACCAGAATTTTTGAGAGATGGCGTGGAAAAAAAAAAAAAAATCTAGTAAAACACGGGCAGAATGGAATCGAGGTTTGTACGGAATGTTATAGTTCATCAGTTCAGCCATCACTTTATGAGCTCAAGTCATTTTAGAGCCCAACTTTTTAAAAAATGAATCTGTAGGACTAAATTAGGACTTTTTTTCAGTTTTATAGTAAGACCATGAACTATAGAAAAGATTACTTTATAACTATAGTAGTTATTAATACTAGTATATATATGTGTGTGTGTTTTAATCTCAGGGTTGAATTTACCAAGTTGGCTGCAGACCCCTCTGTTGTGAATCTTGGCCAAGGCCTACCAGATGTATCACCTCCTAGATATGTAAAGGAAGAATTAGCAAAAATTGCAGCAATTGATAGCATGAACCAGTATACACGGGGCTTTGTAAGTATACTGGGACCATGTGGGACATGAGCTTGTGTTTTATACTGTGTATGTACAAGGGGGCTTCAAAACTATTACAGACATATTCCATGATCTTTTCATTCCAGCCTCTACCAACAATTTTGTATCCCCCTTGTATGTGTACACAGTTCTATCATTTATATGTAACTGGTTTGGGGGCACCAACTCTCCTAATCTAGAAACCATAGAAATTCTCCCACCTTTACCTTTATTTCCTAGGATGAGTCTTCCCTCACCTACTTCTAGTCCCTCCATAGTCCTTTTTTGACCTTTACTTTACTGTTGTTCAGGATGGGATTTTATGGCAACAAAGAAAGAGAGGATGTTCTTTTGAGACATAAGTTTTCCGTCTCATTAGTACTTAGGCAGCCTCAAAATGACGGGTTAATGAATATCCACCTATTCCTAACTTGTTACTTTCTACCTCTCTATTCCAATCCCAACCTCTATCCTGTTGTTTTATGACACCTAGAATATCTGGAGATTTCCTAGATTCAGAGGGACCTTTGAAATATAAATAGAATTATTATATGTTTGAGCATTTGTGTTTTCCGCCTGTGGTAGTATAGAAGCCTTTTGAGTTTTTGACTGTTATTGTTGTTCTTGTTAAATGCCATTGAGTCGACTCCAACTCATAGTGACCCTACATAGGGTTTCTGAGGAACCGCTGGTGAGTTTGAACTGCCAGCCTTGCAGCAGTGCTTATCCTACAGCTCCACACCAGGACTCCATAGAAGTCTATAAAAATTCATAGAGTGACTTTGCTTTGAGGTTGGGAGCATAGGGAAAGACAGTAATGCTGAAAGAGAAAAGGCAAGCCACAGACTGGCAGAACATATTCACAATATATCTGACAATAAGCTTGTTTCCAGATTATATTAGAAAATGTTTTAATTCAGTAAGAAAAAATGTAATTGACAAAATATTTTGGACCCATCACAAAAGACAGCATTCAAATGGCCAGTGAGTAACATGGAATATTCTCAACATCATGATTCATAAGAGAAATGTACATCAAAACCAGTGAGATACCATTTCACACCCACTAGAATGGATAAGGAATCCTGGTGTGGTGCTGTGGGTTAATGTGCCAGACTGCAAAGCTGTTTGAACTGCAAGGACTGTGGTGCAAGCTCATGAGCTGCTCCTCCAAAACCCTGTACAGGGTCACTATGTGTCAGAACTGACTCGATGGCACTTAACAACAACAGAATGGATAAGGGGCCTCTGGTGTGGCATGTAGGATTAACATGGATTTCAAACCACAAGGTCAGCAGTTCAAACCCACCAGTTGCTCCTCAGAAATCCTTTACAGGCTCACTGAGTCAGAACCTACTCATAGGCACTTAACAACAACAGCAACAAAATGGATAAGGAGTTCTGGTATAGCACTGTAGACACTCGACTGCTAATCACAAGATTAGCAGTTCAAATCCATCAGCCACTCCTTGGAAACCTGCTGAACCAATTTGACAGCATTTAACAAAAACAAATGAATGGATAAGGAGTCCTGGTGCTGCTGTGGGGAAGTGTTGGGCTGCTAACCACACGCTTGTCAGTTCCAAAGCACCAACACAGAAGAAAGATAAGCCTGTCTGTTCCCGTCCAAATTTATAATCTTGGAAACCCTGTGCAGGATTGCTGTAAATTGGAATCAACTCGATTGATTGTAATGGGTTGTTTGTTTGGGTATAATGGATAAAATAATTTTTAAAACTTATAATATCAAATGTTAGAAAGGATAGGGAACAGCCAGAACTGTCATATAGCAAATGGTGGCAGACATCAAATGGTGCAATCTGGAGGACTGTTGGGCAGTTTCTTATAAAGTTAATTACACACCTATATAATCCATCTGTTCTACTGCTAGGCGTTTGCCTAAGAGAAATTAAAACCCGTTATCTTTTCAACTTTTCAACTTTAACACAAATGTTCATGCAAACATTTTTCACAGTAACCAAAAACCAGAAGCCACCCAAATATCCATCAATAGGTTAATGATGAACATAACATGATGTTCATCAATAGAATATTACTCAGTATCAAAAAGGAACAAACTACTTGTACTGATAAACAATAACATGGATGAATTTCAAAACCATGCTTTTGAAAGAAGCCAAAAATGAGAGTATATTGTATGGTTCCATTTGTATAGAATATGAAAATATGCAAACTAATAAATAATGACAATCAGATACGCAGAAAAATCAATGATGTGGTACAGAGGAGTTTAGCTGCAAAGGAACAAAAGATTATCCAAGTGTTTTAATCTGGGTTCTTTTGAGCAAAACCAATGAAGCATATTAATAGAAGTAAAAGTGTTTCAAGGAAATGGCTCATACAATTGTGAGAGCTGGTGAGTCCCAAATCCATGGGTCCAATGGCAGACTGAAGACCTCTGTATACTCATATGGTTAACAAATCCAGACTCTGTAGGTCATGTGGCAGGCTCGTGGCCTCTACTGACTCACAGAGTTGTAAGGTTTGGCAAATCAAAACTCTATAGGTGGTCAGGTGGCAGAGCAGAGATTTCTGCAGGTGCAAGTTCAAGTTCAAGAACTGGAGTCAGGTAACAAGAAGAGTCCAGAGTCAAGAAAGTGAGCTTTGCCAGAACATATATTTATATACTTTAGGTGGGCCCTGCCACTAAAGAAACTGCCCTTTTAACTGATCAGCTGATCACAGCAGTTGCTACATAACATTAATCACACTCTGCCCCCTGTCATCTTGGCACGTACACATCTCCTTAAACTCTAAATAAATGTAAATAATTTCTAAATAAAGTCATATTTGCACCTAAGATGATACAACTCACGTGCATCCAACCAAATACTCAGTAGTCCTTTTTACTTTTTGCATTTTATAATAAGTAATGGGATAAGGTAGGAAAGAAAACAAAGATATTTGGCATACACTCATATATAATAAAACAAGGAAGAAATACACATACTAAATTACATTCTTTGTGTCTCAACTGGTAATGTGGTCATAGCTGGTATTTAGAATTACCCTCTTCTAGCATCCTCTATGTATCCTCTTTGCCTTCAGCAAGGACTTCATCTGGTCCTAAGTTTTTGCCTGATTGAGTGAACGAAACCTTCATTCTTGAAGGGTCTGTGTCATTAGTAGTCATATCAGAATTGGGTTTCTATAGTTACCCACTGACTTTAATCACAGGGCTTGGTAGTCTAAGCTAAGATGTCTAAGGGCTCTCCTATATTCCAGACATATGCTTCTTTATCTCCATTATGTAATATCATTATTTACTATCAATCCAATTTTCCCTTGGTAATCAGGATCAATCACACCAGCCAATACAGTAACTTCCTTCTTAGCTTGGTGATTCTGAAGCATAAGCAGCCCAAAGTGGCCAGGTTGCATTCTTAATTCCTAGTTAAGTAGAATCAGTATTGTGTCACTGGATAGAAGAATTTCTCCTTTTGGAATTAAGACCTCTAGACCCACAAAGCATAGGAAGCAAAAAATTTCACAACTGGGTCATTAGGGGTAGTAATGAGTGATGCCACTCCCGTTCTCCCCTTGATTGCTGGACATAGGAGAAATAGCACCATACATGGGATGCACATTTAGAACATTGGACAACATTGCCCAGTCCTGCAATGTATTATCACCTAACTGGAACTATAATTGTGACTTATAAAAGCCATTTTGTTCTTTCAAACCAGCTACTTCAGGACAATAGGGAACATGGTAAGATCAGTGAATTCTATGAGCCTGGGCCCATTGACATACTTCATTTGCTGTGAACTAAGTTCCTTGATCTGAGGTAATGCTGTTTGTCTACTGGATGATAGATAAGGCATTCTGTAAGTCTTTGGATGGTAGTTTGAGCAGAAACATTACATGCAGGGAAGGCAAATCTGTATCCAGAGTGTTTATCCCAGTAAGAACAAAATGCTGCCCTTTTCATGGTGGAAATGGTCTGTTATAATCACCTGCTATGGTGCTGTGGGTTAATGCACCAGACTGCAAAGCCATTTGAACTGCAAGGTCGGCAGTTCAAGCTCACCAGCTGCTCCTCGGAAACCCTGTACCAGACCAGGTCACTATGGGTCGGAACCGACTCGATGGCACTTCACAGCAAAAACCAGGTTGCTGACTGGTTGCCCCTAGGACTGGTGCCATATCAAGGGCTCAGTTTTGGTCTCTGCTTGAACAATGGGCACTCACCAAGGCAGTCTTGGTGACTGGAAATCCATGTTTCAGAGCTCATGCATAACCTCTGTCATTGCGACCATGGCCACTTTGTTCATGAATCTCCTGGGCAGTAATGGGATTGGCTGAGGAAAGCAGCTGATATGTCATCACATGTCATCCTATCCACTTGATTATTAAAATCCTCCTCTGCTGAAGTCATCTTTTGGTAAGCATTGATATGATACATAAATATCTTCACTTCTTTTGCCCATTCAGAGACATCTATCCACATATCTCCTTGACACCAGTTTTCCAAAAATGTGTTTCCAATCTCTGACCATCCAGTGAAACCATTGACCACAGCCCATGAATCAGTGTACAATCACACATCTGGCCATTTCTCCGTCCAAGCAGAGTGAACAACCAGCTGCACTGCTTATGTTCTGTCCACTAGGAGGATTTCTCTTTACCACTGTCCACTTCCAGGTGATGCCTGCATATCACGAAGAGCCATCTGTAAGGCAAGCATGAGTTGGGTTAATCTGCCACCCTCTCGCACATAAATTTCTTAACAATAAGTCTAGAGTCATTGATAATGGACCAGTGTAGTATCATGAAAGGGAAAGATGATCAAGGTCCTGCCAGTTCATCACAGGGTACTTCTCATGAGGCCATAGGTGCACACTGAGTGAGAAAAGGAAGTGTGACAGGAGTGGGGACTATGGGCATTTGGACCACTTCCTCATATAACTTGCTTGTGCCTTCATGTTATGCTCAAGCCCAATTGTATACATACCACTTCCATTTAATGATGGGGTGCTGTTGGGCACACCCAACTTTATGACTCTGTGGGTAAGACAACACCCAGTTAATGACGGGCAGCTCAGGCTGCATGGTAATTTGGTGGCCCATGGTTAAGTATTCAGTCTCTACTAAGGCCTGTGAAAAGTCAAAGCAGCTTCTGACAAGGATTTTAGTTATCTGCAGAGGATGGCAGGTGTTGCCTAAAAATGCTAAGTGTCTTCGCTATGATTCACCAATAAGTGCCTATCAAGAACTGCAAACAGCATCTGTTTGCCACTGGAACTTCAGACACCATTGGAGCAGCTGGATCATTCAGTTCAAGTGAAGCAGCAACTTGCACAACCATCTGCACCTGTTGCAGAGCCTTCTCTTTTTCTGGGCCCTACACAAAACTTGCAAGGAACTCTGGTAGCATAGTGGTTATGAGTCGCTGCTAACGGCAAAGTCAGCAGTTTGAAACTACTAGCCATTCCATGGGAGAAAGATGAGGCTTTCTGCTTCCATAAAGATTTGCAGCCTTGGAAATCCTGTACAAGGTCACTATGAGTCGGGACTGACTCCACAGCACACCATCACCACACAAAGTGTGCAGCTTTTTCGAGTCACTTGATAAATAGGCCAGAGTTGCACACCCAAATCCAAAGCAGCATTGTGCCTTTTTTTTTAGTTGTTCTTAAGTACCGTTGAGTCAGTTCTGACTCACAGCAACCCTGTATAGGATCCCAAGGAGCTGCTGATGAGTTTGAACCATTGACCTTGCGGTTCAAACCGACCTTGCTGTCCAGTGCTTTTTCCCACAGCGCGACACATTTTAGTTGTAAGAAGGACCAAATACAACTTATTCTTCACTTTAGAAGGAATATCTTGACGTGTCTCCCACTACTGAGTCCCTAGAAATTTACTGAAGTGGAAGGCATCTGATTTTCAGTTGGGTTAATTTCCCATCCTCTAGCACATAATGAAGTCCTGGTGTAGTGCTGCAAGATAAGCACTGGACAACAAGGTCAGTTTGAACCACAAGGTTCAAATTCACCAACCACTTCTTGGAAACCCTATACAGGGTCGCTATGAGTCAAAACTAAATGATGGCACTTAACAACAAGAAGCACATAAACGTCTTACCAATAAGGCTAGAGTCGTTGATACTTCTTCCTTACTAGATTCAATCAGCGTAATGTCATCAGTAATGGACCAGTGTACCATCTTGAAAAGGAAAGGTGATATAGGTCTTATGGACTAAATTATGACATAGTGCTGGAGAGGTGACACACCCCTGAGGGAGGACAGTGAAAGTGTATTACTAACCTCATCAATAGAAAGCAAACTGCTTCTGATGGTCTTTAGCTCCGGTAGTGTAGTGATTACAAGTCAGGTGGCTAACCTCAAGGTCAGCAGTTCAAAATTACCAGCCATTCTGCCAGAGAAAGATGAGGGTTTCTGCTCCCATAAAGATTTAGAGCTTGGAAACGCTATGCAGGGTCGCTGTGAGTCAGAACCAACTCCGTGGCACACCACCACCACCACCACCTCATAGAGAAAAAGACATTGGCTACATCAAGAGCTGCGTATCAGGTACCTGGAGGTATATTAATTTGTCCAAGCACTGAAACCATGTCTGGAACAGCAGCTGCAGTTAGGGTTACCACCTGATTAAGTTTACGATATCCACTGTCATTCTCCAAGATCCATCCAGTTTTCATACAAGACAAATTGTTATTGTTAATTGCCATTGAGCTGGTTCCGACCCATAGCGACCCTGTATAGGGTTTCCGAGGAGTGGCTGGTGAGCTTGAACAACTGACCTTGCAGTTAAGACCCACAGCACCACACCAGGACTCCATACAAGGCAAATAGGTAAGTTGAATGGGAATGTGGTAGGAATCAACTCTACATTCTTCAAGTCCTTAATGGTCATATTTGTTTTCTGAAATCTCTCTAGCAGTGTAGTATTGATTTTGCTTTACTTTTCTCCTAGGCAAGGGCATTCCTGATGACTTCCACTTGGCCTTCCTACCATATTAACCCTTACTCCACATGTCAGGAATCTAATGTGGGGATTCTGCCAGTTGCTGAGTCTGTCTACTTCAATTATGCATTCTATAACTGGGGGAATCCCTGCAGGATGGATTGAACCCATTGTGCAACAGACCTGAGTTAAGACTCCCATTAATAACTAGATTTCCATATGCCCCAGCTCTGACTGATGTGCCACTGCATCATTTTGGGACTCCTAGAATGTGGTGCTCTAGGTTAATGTGCTGGACTGCAAAGTTGGTTTGAACCACAAGGTCAGTGGTTCAGGCTCACTAGCTGCTTCTTGGATCAGAACCAATTTTACAGCACTTAACAACAACAACAGAATTAATATCAGTTCAGATCAGTGTTCAATAATTCCCAGAAGGTCGGATTATTTCCCTTTTCCAATTTACAGTCAGTCTCATAAAAGGCCATAGGTTCCTTAAGGAAGACTGGGAGAAAGATTAATACCATACATTTTTGGCAGTATAGTAGTATCCTTCCCCAAGCGGATCCAACCTCCCATTCACAGTGTTGTGGGTCTGTACACTGGCTCAAGTCTGGGAATTGGTTGATGGGCTGTGACTTTCTGTTATGGGAGAATGCCATTTACTTGACCTAGAATTATTTTGCTTATGCAGATCAAGTAAATATTTAGTAGAGTTTTAGAGTCCTCATGTAGTGTTACAGGATAATGCACTGGGCCACAAGGTCTGCAGTTCAAACTAACTAGCCACTCCTCAAAACTCTATACCAAGTCGCTATAAATCAGCACTTAATACCAACAATAACAAGCATTTATTTTGGAGTCCTGGTATGGCATTGTAGGATAAGCACTAGGCTGATAAACCACAAGCACCTTGGAAACCTTATACAGGGTTGTTGAGTTGGAACTGACTCAGTGGCACTGAACAACAATTTGTGTCACTCCTGGGAATACCAATGCCATTGTCAGATTATTCTGATTACTGCTTTGTGTCTGCTGTCTGTTATAGTAACCACATCCACCTTGTCTTTGCTTATTAAGTGCCACCATTTGGTCCCTGCCACTATATGATCTGGAGTCCTAGTATGGCGCTTTGGGCTAATGCATCTGACTGCAAAGTCAGTTTGAACTGCAAGATTGGTGGTTCAAGCTCACCAGCTGCTCCTTGGAAACCCTATACAGGATCGCTATGGGTCAGAATCGACTCAACGGCACTCAATACCTCTATGATCCAGTCACCCCTTTTATAGTTAGGTGTCTTAATTCATTGAGATCAATTCCTATTGTAATATCTGGCCTACATAGAAAAGCAATAACAGCCTTCCAGGATACTGGGGCTCCCTTCATGATTATCCTTGATCCGTATGACTTTCATCTTGAAGTGGAAAGTTTTTCCAAAAAAAATTGTTTTTTCTTTGGATAATTATAAATATCAAAACCATTATTTTAAACTTCTCACATTTTAGAGCCATATTAACTCAAGTAGGACATATCAGTTGCACCCAAGGTTTATTCTTTTAACTTCTCATCCAACAGGGTCATCCATCACTTGTGAAAGCTCTTTCCTGCCTCTATGAAAAGCTGTATCCAAATAAAATCAATCCAGATAAAGAAATCCTTGTGACAGTTGGAGCCTATGGATCTCTTTTTAGTGCCATTCAAGGATTAATTGATGAGGGAGATGAAGTAAGTATATTAACATTATAATACCTATATTAATTATACTTTGCCCTGCCTTTGAAAATCCTACAGCCTCTTTTCCCTTTCTCATTAAATTTTTAATTAACACTAAAATACATATTGACATGATTAGGTTCCAATGACACAATGGAGGATGGCTACATCATTACCTCACTACCAGATTACATCCATGTGGTGGTGGTGGTGGTAGTGTGCCGTGGAGTTGGTTCCAATTCACTGCAACCCTGTATAGGGTTTCTGAGGCTGTAAATGTTTACAGGAGCAGAAAGCCTCATCTTTCTCCTACTGTACAGCTGGTAGTTTCCAACTGCTGACCTTGAGGTTAGCAGCCTGAATCAAAACTACTACACTACCAAAGCTCCTTACATTGATATATAACCAACAAATTATATCATTATCTAACATCTGAACCACTGAGAATCATGGCCCAGACAAGTTTACACATAAGCCGTAACCATCACAGCCAGCATTACTCTCATCTCACAGCTCTACATTCATTTCCACCAGATGTATGTTGTTTATGTGCAAAAGAGTCGGATAGTAGATTTTTTTCTATTGTTGTAAATGAGAAATGTTAGATAATAAAATAGTCAATGTGAGTAGATATAAACACATAGGGCAAAGTATAATTTTAGCATTCAGCTTGAAGTACTGTCACATATATATGTATATTAAGGTAATCATAGTCCAGATGAAGATATAGTACATTTCTAGCACGCCAGCAGGCTCCTTTTTTGAGCCTGTACTCCCCAGAGATAACCATTCAACTGATTTCTAGCACCACAGGTTAGTTTTAACTGCTCTTTAATTTGATATAAATAGAATCATATATATGTATTTGGGTCTGACTTAATTTATGTCTGTGAGATGCTTCAAATTTGTTAAATGTAATTCATTATTTTCATAGCCTAATTAGATAGGGGGACCTAGTGATCTACTTCTAAAAAAATGGTCAGTAAAAACCTTATGACTAACATCAGAAAATTGTTTGATGTAGTACCTGAAATTGAACTCCCGAGGTTGGAGACACCACCAGGAAAACACTCCACAAAAATGTCATGAAGGGCAGAGGGAAGGAGAATTAAACTCTACATGAGCTCAAGGCTGATTTCTTTGAGGCGTATTTCAGACAGGCCTCCACTTTACAACCACCTTTACTTTATTCTGACACCAACCATCTATCCCGTGGCACTCTATGTCTGTTGCTGTGTTCAATAATACATTGCAGTGGCCACACAGAACTCACAGACAATACTCATAATTATTAGGGAAGTTAACAGGGTATAATTTTGTATCAGAAACAACTCAGAGTATAGCAGCTTTCCAGTCAGGAATGCCTCTTCTCAGCTGTACTGAAGGAATATCTTTCTCTTGCCCTCAGCTTCTCAGTCACACTGTCCCTTGGCCTCTGCCCTGCTCAGGCAAGTGTTACAAGGCCCTTATGTGCTGCTGATAAATGCCTCCAGAGCATCCAAGTCGGCAAACCAACCTCCTACCTGAAGGCACTCAACTTTACACTGTCTGTGGGCCAGGAAGCCCACGTTCTGCCTCTCCATTCTGCCACCTTTACTGCTGCCTTTGCTACCATGCAGATTTTTCGCACTTTGTTCCTGGCTCTTTTTTTTGATGGTCCTGGGTCCTTGGATGGTCTGCCTCTGCTTCTGAGATGACTGCTTTTAAACCTACCAGGAGCAAAACTAACCAATCCCCACGTTAGAGTCCTGTATACCCTATTTGCATAGTCCTAGGGACGCACAAACGGAGGGGGCAGTGGCTGAACGATGTGCAAGAATTGCGCAGACCTGGTGGAGATATTAAATGAAACCCAGACCTCGGAGCGGCAGGGTGAGAGGTGTCTGGAGACCAGTTAATACCACTATTATTCAAATTTATGCACCAACCACTAAAGCCAGTGAAGTTGAAATAGTTACCCTGGACGCGAGAGCGCCATCCTAGCCTAACCATTGGATCCTGGCTTTGAGGCGGGGTGAACCAACTTAGAGACCCACAAGAGCAGCCCAATGCGTCTCACTACAACCCAGTCGCCCCTGCTGCGCTTCCGCCTCTTGATTGACATCTGAGGATGGAAATCCCGTCTTTGAGCCGGACTTAAGGGCCCTAGCACAAGGAGATTCCTATTTAACAGTAACCACGCAACCGCCACTTGTCTGGCTGTCGTGCTGTGGTGGTTTGAATTGCTGTGATTCTGAGGGCTATG